AAATTCGCATTACAGTTCACTATGTCCTTAGATTACTACGTTTTGGCTAAATCAATAACTTTTCTATATAATTACGATCTCTCCTCTAATTGGACCCTCCCACTCAAACGTGGCAGAAGCCATGCAATGGTCAACGCCCCATAGATTCAGGTTATTCAATGTAAACGTAATCTGCAGTTGAATCGTTGGTATACTTTAATTTCCAAGAGGATGGGCCAGCCTAACTTAGCTCTCAATTTGTGGCCGTAATTTCTGTACGAACGTTGAATTAATTAATCAACACTTGATCTCTTGGCAGTAATTTAGAACTGTTGATAAAACACTTGAATAAGATAAAAAAAAGCCATGATTTTCATTTTTATTGTCGCTTGTTATATGACAACACGATGAACATGCAGCTGCATAGACTTATGGCTTCACGCACGTATAGTTGGAAAATAACAATTATATACTACAGAAACAAATTAAATTGAAATTGAACAAAAATTGAAAGAACGATAAATTGCAATTTTTTTCGCCTTAACCCTAAGCTGAACGCAAAGATGCGTAAATATTGACAAGGGTGCACATACTAAATACTGACTTATTAAGAAATTAAAATATCTTTGTAAAGCAGCTTCTTAAACAGTTCTTTATATCAAGCTTTGATGCACTTGTGGGTTCCGCAAAGTGCTAACTACTGAGGCATTCAAATTCTAACAATACGTTATTTCAATAGTTTTGGTTTGGGGGGGGGGGGGCACCCTGTATATATCTGGGAGTAAGATATATGGCGCAGACCAATATTTACGTACTTGCTAATTTTTAACTGAGCATGAATAAAAGCACTATATATATATATATATATATATATATATATATATATATATATATATATATATATATATATATATATATATATATATATATATATATATATATATATATATATATCTATCTATCTATCTAACTACAGACGGTACCGTTTCGGCCTAATGGGCCTCATCGGTGTAGTGCTGATGAGCAGGATGAAAGTAACTCTTATTTATAGTTACCTTTGATGCCTCACGATTGTGGGACATCAAAACCATGCCAGAGCCCTCAAACTGCAAGCAGTGAGCGTGCGCAATGCGTAAGCGGCATGGCTCATCCTGTAGAGCGCTCAATATGACCTAAAGGCCATGATATTATAATATAGTCATTCACCGTATATGAGCTGTTCTGCAATCTGATTGGTTGAATTATCGCCGTATATCAGCCAGTGAACTCTAATAAGACTGGAACGATAACTCGGCCGCCATCATTGAAGCAAAATTGAAGGCCGCCATTGGAGGTACGGCAGCGAAAATACACCTCTTCGAAAATCTCGGATTTCTGCCTTTCTAGCTATGCTAGAACATAGATAAAAAACTTAAAACCATCTACGATACTTGGACTATTGCATAAATTATGTTTGGAAGCCGTAGAAAAGACGTTTTTGTGTACCTGAAATTCGTATTTTGTTCGGCACGGAAAATATTTTGTTATTTTCTTGAATACAAAAATGGTTCCTTTCGAGATTTTGCTGTTAGTGGATGTAGAATACTTAAAATTGAAATCTTCGGACGAAAAACCCATTTTTTTAGCGTATTTTTTCCAAAAAAACAAAATTACGAGGAAATTGAACTCTCCTCAGTTCTTTTTTGAAAGTCACAGCGCGCGAACTTCTCCCGTGCGCCAAGTCACAAATCACAAATCACGGGGGTTTCTACGGAAAAATTGATTTATTCACGTTTTAGAGATGTCAAAAAGCACTCAAAATAAACAACTATACCTAGACTTTAAAACAAAAAAGGTATTGGTCTGTAGATTTATGTTTCAAAGTTGTTTTTTTTAGTTGATATATAGCAAAGTTCACTTCCGCACGTTCAATTAGTGTCGTTTTTACAAAACAAACCTGATACCCTTCAAACTTTCGCTGTTGTGAGATGCAAAGCAGTTCTAACTATCACATCAATCGTATTTGGGTTTTTAAAATTGAAGTCTTTTGATGAAAAACGACTTTTCTTGCTCATTTCGAAAAAACTTTTAAAAGTGCAATTTCCTTGCACGGTTGGCTTCAGGCAAGTATGGGCATGTTTACCTGAGTTATCGTTCCAGTCTTATTAGAGTTCACTGATATCAGCTCATATACGGCGAGTAGCGAAAAACAAGATGGCGGTCCAAAAACTACATGAGTTTTGCGAAGCAGAAAAAAGGAAAATATTCGCTTTGAGAAAGATAATAGTACAAGGAAAAACTCTCAAAAAAAATTGACAGGTTAGCAAAAGACAATTATTACATAGAAATTAGTTTAAATACAAGTTTTTGAAAGAATTAATACCGAAACAACAGCGAAAAAAACATGTTCATTGAGAATATAAATTGTTCAGAAAAGTTTGCAACGAAAGACAAATGAATTTGCAGTCAACAAGCACTTACTATACTACCGAACATCTGTGTAATATATCTGAACTTTTCTGTGAGATATACCGGTTCTAAAACCATTTCTTTCACTTTGTCTTTCAAATTTTCATGAACAGAGGATAATTAATTATTGCTTCAGTTAATAAGCAATTATTGGATGAGGCTGAGCATGATATCAAGAATTATTCAGACCGAGGTCAATGTTATCTGCCGAAGCAAAGCTGAGGCGGATAACATAGACCGAGGTCTGAATAATTCTTGATATCATGCGAAAGCAGAATCCAATAATTGTTTCAGTTATTATACATTTAAAGACATGAGGAACGTATAAAACGATTCCTGTTCATGAGGTAGGAAAAGTATAATTTGAATATCAAACACCTTGCACAAAGTCAAAGCTCAGCTAAATATTATATTTCCACTTCTATTTACCCTTTTGTGGCTTTTTTCGTGCTTTCACTATCCTTATCTGCCAATAATTTGGAGAGTTCACTTTCATTCAGCGAAGCAAATCTGCTGTCGGCCATTGTTTTTTTTTTCCCGCGCTTATAGGTTCAAGCTTTTGGCCGCGCAAGGGTTGGGCACGAGAGAGTCCAATAATATTTTTTTTTGGATGCAAGTTTGATCCAAAAAAAACAATTATTGGACGCTGATGACGTCATCGGCGGAAAATACGTAATAAATGCCGAATACTGAAAATTAGCCGGTGCTTTCTGACCAATTAGAAACGAGAATACATATTAAATGTATAATAATAGCTATTAGACTATGTTATAAAACAATTATACCATTCGCTCTCGTCGTATATGGCTGATAGCTATCAGCTCATATACGACTCGAGCTCATGGTATAATTGTTAAAGAGAGAATTCTGGATTGTATTCCTTCGATTCCGAATTCTGGAGGAGGGAGGGGGGCATTGAAAATTTCAAAACTTGGAGGGGGGACATCGAAAATTTACCAATAACGTCAACAGGGGCCCTCTAAAAAATGAGCTTTTTCCAAGACATTTTCATCTCCCCTCGGCATAATAAATGTACTTTCCCTAACTGAATATAGTAACGTTTACCTTAGAAAGAGCAAAAACATGTCTGATATTAAATAAAGTTAGGCAAGCAATATTACCTGTATAAATTTTGAAACGTATAAGCCAAACGCCGAAACAGCAAGTATAAAATTCAGAACAAAAACTGTCCTTAGAGACTTTAAAACCACAAAAATTCTCGATATACGCATGTTGTACTTACTTTCATCTGTAAAAAATCCTCTGCTTTCACTGTTTCCATGGCCAACTTTAGTACTTGCGAAAACACGAACATAGTATTTTGTTGATGCATTCAAATTTCTGACGAGCCACTCTCTTTCACTTGTGATACATTTTTGAAAGCAAGGACCATTTTCTGAATGTGAAACACAAGCTGTATAACTGATAATTACGCCATGTTGTTTGGTTGTCTCAGAATGGTCGACGTCCCAGGCGAAAAACAGTGATGATGCACTTCTTGATGTGGTTCTGATGTTCAATAAAGGACCGCTCGGAGCTAAAGTACATAAAAACAAGGGTGTTTATCTAAATTTTATGTAATTTAAAGCAGGGTGCGATAAATCGCGTACTTACGTATCGGAGTTACGCCAATATTACGGTGCGGTACTTCTTTAATTTGTTTGCAACCAAGTTTCACGTAGATACCCTCACTATTTGCGTTCTTGCATTTTTGCTGGTACCATATGATCTTACCAGATGGTATTCAAAACCGTAATTAAAGGAATATGGCAATGGAAATTAACTTTGTCTTATTTGAAAGAACTTTTAAAGTTATATATGACGACCCTTTACAACTTTTTCGTATCTTGCTTGGTTTTCAAAATATTTTTCCCAAAAACAGTGTGCAGTCCACCATCTTGGTATTATAATTGACCCAATTAACTTAGTTTTTGATGACGTCACAACATGGTAAACTTGTTAAAACTTCTTCATGTGGGACTAAATTCCTTCGAAAAGTTTCTTAAAATATTGTGAGTTAATTGAGTGCCAAAAATTTCGCTTTTTACCCTACTTGTGACGTATGCATATCGAATGCATATCCAAGATGGCGGAATGCACGCTGGTTTTGATCAATATAAGCCGATTTACTTCGAAAACCAAGCTAAGCAAGATAGGGAATAATGCCATATCCCTTTAAGTCGGTGTATGTATGGGCACATCTGACACGTCTTGCAATGAAAAATTCAGTATTGGACTAATTGGACGGACAGGACAAAGGAATGTTGGAATAGACTTGGGTAACGACATCACAAGGTTTGATGCCCGCGAGGAATTCTGGTCATGGTAGTTATTGCCCGGGTAAAAATAAACAATTCAAAATGGCCACTATCGAAATTTTCCCGGGCAATGAATACTAAGACCAGCATTCCTCGCGGGCAACAAGCCTAGTGACGTCATTATGCATAAGGTATATTGATTCGAGTGTTTGAGTATGCAATTGTCGTCTTTCTTTTTCTAACTCGTAGTTTGAGATTACTGAATGAATGCCTTTCAGAAACCTGTACATTATGTACTTCATTCCAAAGACTAAGTACACCTTGAGTCTTCATTTTAGAAATATAGAAAATATTTTTAGAGACATTAGCACTTTAAAATACGCTCAGCCTCTTTAAGTTTTCTGTTCACGTTTTCTGTCTTTTTCGCTGTTGACAACAATGTTTCAAAAGTGACCAAACTGGAAAACGAATATAAAAGGGGATTCAAGTTTTAAAGTGTTTTTATTGCACGATATTGCCATGCAGTCTTGAATCGAGCATATTCTATACAATACACATCTTGAACACTCATCTTCTTCAGATGTTAAGAACGAAGAAATGGTCCCATCATCAATTAGAACCGGTCAACTTGGCAATTTCCAGTACCGACAGATTTTTCAGGTGGTATACGTATATGCAGTGAGATTATTTATTTTATATTTATTTACTTTTTGATTTTTAGGATATTTTTTTATAATTTTTGACTAAAAATACTTTGACGGCTTGTGTATAATTCGTTTAAATGAGCCACAGGAGAAACTGTAGGGATCCTCCTTAATTTAAGTTATTTTATAAGAAATTCAAAAGAGACAATGATGTACAATAACTTACATAAACCCCAAGTATCAACTCTCATACATGGTTGACCTACGTATGTTAATGGAATGAACCGTAAAGCTCTTGCTAAAACGCGAAGATTTCTCCAAGCTGCATAATGGTAAGCATTTTTGTTTCCTTGAAGTATCTACAAATAAGAATAGCAAGAGATGCATCATTAACAAGAAGTCACAACAATATGTTTAAATTAATAAGTACATACAATATGATATCAAAAAATGTTGCAAAACAGCATGGCTGCAGGGATCGATTTGACCAGTCCCAGAAGATCAGCTGGTTTGATTTTCAGGGACTAGTGTAAGGTTAATTTCTTGTTGGAAAATCCTCAAGGTCATGTTTCGCTCGCTACTCTGGTTTAAATAAATGATTACAAAGCCCAGTCGAATTGTAATCAAGACCCAACGTTTCGACACTCCAGTCTAGTGTCTTCATCAGGGGTGATCTAAAATTGCAAACGTGGCTTCTTAAATAC